TCACTGAAATACTAATTCCTGGTGATATGTCTAACTAACCTAACAGGAAGGAAAAAGAATCAGAGATCTCTGGCATCTCTGCGAGAATAAACAAACAAAGCTAGAGGGCGCCACAATTTATATTTAAGCACAGAATAAGAAACTATTTGCTATTCTCTGTACAATAATTTGAAAATATAAGTTATAAATATCTATATTGTAATTTATAATATAAGTATTATCTGTTATTTCTCATCATTAAAACGATACCATTATTTAAAAGATTTGTGTTAGAATATGGTATACAATATATGTCATCCATACGTGCAAATTAAAGATTAACAATGTTGCCTGAAAAATAAATTTATATAAAACATGAAGTAGAGGTGGCCTTGTAAAATACTTATTTTCATGTTACTTTTATTTGCTCACTATCAATTATCTTATGTTAATATAAATCTATTTTACTTTTAACCCATAATAAGCATTCCTTGATAATTTCCATCGAGTATAATTTCTTACAAAGTAAGAGTAACGCAGTAACGGCACAGTATCGGTAACAACTAACAAACTGGCAACAGTGTTTGTTCAACATTTTTGTTAAAAAAAGTAGGATAATGTACTTTTGGATAATATTAGGGTGTTGTTTAATACAAATAGACTGTACTATTACACCAAAAAAATTAAATGCTTTAGTTATTTTGGGTAAGGAAAGTTTTACTACATTTTTTTAATTATAATTTTTACGGTAAGAAACAAAAGATCTACTTAGATGGCGTGTATGATGCCTTGATCGTGGCCTTGATGCCGGCCCGCCCGGCCTCTTGTTTTATTCGACGATTGACGTTGTCACTTATTGATGGAACAACCAGGCGGGTACTTTAAAATTTTGTTTGTGTTCACCAAGCTACTTTTACAAAAGAAAACTGCAAATTATATTTATATTAAACCGCATTTTTTAAATTTTATTTTTTTAAAATTTATTATTTTATAAATAAAGAATGACCCAAAAGATCAGTTGTAATTTTAAAAATAAAATTATCTGTTTTTTCCACATATCATTACCTTAATTTTACTTTCGTTAATACTCATTTTACGTTTTTTTAAGTTTATCGCTACATATTTGGGGGTTTCTCTTGAGTACGTACTCGTCTCTTCCAAAAACAACGTGATCATCTGCAAATGGGAATTCTACTATCGGTATTATTTCCAGGTTTTTATGTCCAATATATATTTTCAATGTTTCTTCTCTGGTTGCCTTCATTACATCATCTAGTAGAATATTAAACAGGATGGGGCATAGTACACCTCCTTGTCGTAAGACATCATTTGCTCTAAACTCGTCGGATTCCATATTATCTGTTCTTACTCTGTTTCTTGTGTTTTTATATAACCTCATAATAGCTTTTCTGAGTTTGGTGTTTACTCCCCTGTTCATTAGACGTTTGTCGATTTCTATCTGCTGGGTTTGGTCAAATGTTTTTGCAGGTCTATAAAGGCTTGGAATAGTTCCGTGTTTTAGTGTGAAAATATGGTCTTGTATGAGTAGGTATGAAAATATGTTTCTTTCCTTCTTAAATCCGCTCTGTGACTGCTTTAGTTTATGGTCCACTTCTTGTAGTAATATTTTCTCCAGTACTCGTTCGTATACTTTGGAAGGGATACTCAGTAGGGTTATACATCTGTAGTTGCTGCAGTCTCGTCTGTCTTCGTGTTTGAATATGGATACAATAACCCCCCACTTCTCACTCTTTTGGGATCTTGTTCTCAATTCATGCTGTATTGCAAACTTTTCTGAGCATTTAATTTCCATTTCTCCCATATTTTTTAGCATTTCCGTGGTTATCTTATGATAGCCAGCTGCTTTTCCTCTTTTAAGCTTGTATATTCTTCTTCTTCTTCTTCTTCTAATGGTGCTACAACCCTCTGTGAGTCTTGGCCTGCTTAACAATGTTCTTCCATTCTGCCCTGTCGGATACTTTCCTTCGCCACTGCCTGATGTTCATGGTTTTAAGATCCTTCTCTACGTCGTCTATCCATCTTTTACGGGGCCTTCCTCTTGTTCTGTTTCCTTGGGGCTTCCATCCCTGGACTACTTTTACAACTCGATTATCTGGCATTCTTTCTAGGTGACCAAGCCAGTTTAGTCTTTGTGACTTTACAAATCTAACAATATCTGCGCTCTCCATTAGTTTATCCATCTCGTGGTTCATTTTAATTCTCCACGAACCATCGCTTCATTGAGTTGGTCCAAATAAGTTTCTTCTATTTTGCGCTCAAATATTCTCAGTTGATTTTCATCAGTGGTTGAGAGGATCCACGTTTCACATCCATATGTGACCACTGGTCTAATTACTGTTTTGTAGATTCTAAGCTTAGACTCACGATTCAGTAAATTACTTTTCATTAAGCCTTTGTATGCATAAAAGCACTTATTACCGCTAAGAATCCGTGCTTGTATGTCTTGACTGATGTTGTTATGGTTGTCTACCTTTAGATTCTCATGTTGATTCGATTTTGTGCACTCCATATATTTTGTTTTGCTTTCGTATATATATATATATATATATATATATATATATATATATATATATATATATATATATATATATATATATATATTATATATATATATATATATATATATATATAATATATATATATATATATATATATATATATGTTTATATCCAATTTTCTAACAACAGCTTCTAAAGTTAGATTAAAAAGTGTTGTTGATAAGCGCATCACCTTGTCTAACTCCATTTTCAATATCAAAGGCCTGCGTCATATCTCCATCTATTCTCAGCATAGCTTTGGAACCCTTCAGAGTCATTCGTATGTGTTTAACCTACTTATTGGGTGCTTGTATATTATTTCTCTTATTTCATCTGTTTTTATTTCGTTTTGATTTTGGTTCTCATGTGCATTTGCTTCAGTGCTGTCTAGTTCATTATTGGAGTCTTCGTGGTTCAATAGATTTTCGAAATGTTTATATAGCTTTTTATAGAATTGCAATTCATTTGGTAGATTTTTAGAAAAAAATCAAATCACCAATTAAGGCATTTTTTTCCTAGTCTAGAAAATATAAATGTCTTCTGGAATACGGTATTCGCTCCGTGCGTAACTATGGTAGGGGTACCTTGAAACGATGCCAGCGTGCGTAGCGGCGAAATATGACAAAATTGGACCTATCTTTTTACACATAAATTTTATCAAAAATGGGTGCAAATACATGTTGCCTATTTAATTGTGCTAATAATAGCAAAAATAGTGAGTGTACTTAATATAGGTTTCCATAGATTACATATAAATTACAGAAACAAAAAAGTGTTCGGGAAAAATGGATTAGTGTTATTAATATGAAAAAGTAAATATCACATTAGTTCATTTTTATGCAATTAAAATAGGAAAAAATGATATTTCATAAGGCTTCAAGCTAGCTGCAGCCTTCCTGATCACTTTAGCTTTTATATCATAACTTTTACTAATATTGTTTTTAATTACATCCTGTTCCACATGAAAAACTTGAGTTGCCAGTACTAGATTTTTCCCTTTCTTTTCTGTTTGGGATTGAAAAGATAAATTATAATGCATTTTTAGAAACTCAGTTTTAAATACTATATTTATTTGTAGATAAACTGAAAAAATATTATTAAAAAACTAATTATTAATAATTGTCAATTTCGTATGTATTTAACATACGTTTAATCTTAAATTGGGAGGTCCAAAACTTTCAGACGAAGACGGTAGGTGTCGCGTCAGTCACGAACGGAGCGAATAGATATGGTCAAATTTCACTAAAATAATAAAATGTCCTATGTAAAAAAATGATAAAATTTAAATGTTATTGTTAACAATATCTAGGCTAGATATATCGCCGATTTTTGGTGATATGTACCACGTCATACTTGTTTATAATTATTAAAGCTTACACATTAGTAGATCTTAAAATATTTCAAAAGCGAAGGGAGATAGGTATAGGAAACCTTAATATAGATTGAATGCAAGTAAATTTTCCACATGACAAACTAATAAAATATAGGAATTTTATTTAAAATAAAAAGGTACGTAATTGCAGCTTGAATTTGTTTATAGAACAATCTAATATTTTGACCACCCTGTAAAATATTTTTTTTTATAATAAACATCTGTCTAAATATGACAAATAGTGTATTATTGAGGCCCAAGACAAAATTTGTCTCCAATTCTTAGATTCGTAGACACTTTCAGTTGTTTTCTGGGTTTGACTCCGCGTTAAATAGTTTTGGTTTTTTGAAAAATCATTGCTGACGTATCGGCAAGATTACATATATATATATATATATATATATATATATATATATATATATATATATATATATATATATATATTAATATTAATAAAACAGCTTTTATTTTTCAGTAAAAAATTATTTATTTAATTTATTTTCCTTAATGTTTAATTGCACCTCATTACTAAATGTTTGCAATTTATTTTTGCAGCTGACGATGGAGGTTTTGAAATGGGAGTATATCGCAACAAAATATGCCAAACCCCAAATCTGGATAGGTTGGCCCGACAGAGTTTAATATTTAATAAAGCATTTACATCAGTGAGCAGTTGTTCTCCAAGGTAAGAGGAACATGTAAAAAACATGCATTTATTTTTGCCAATTTCAGTTAGTGATCAGATTTTTATGAACGAATACGGTTAGATTACGTTAGATCGTTGAAGTTATTTGGTATTGATAAGAGTTTAAACAAAATAAAAAAATGCAGAAGACTATATTTATCATTCCTCAGTATGTATCCAAGGTATGCAGTCTTGCGTACTTTTATTGTTCTCAACAATTTTTTGTCTCGACCCATCCTTCTCAGCACTTCCTCATTGGTGACCCTGGCAGTCCATGGAATTCTCAACATTCTCCGGTATATCCAAAGTTCAAAGGCTTCAAGCTTTTTAACTATTTGCGCTTTTAACGTCCATGTTTCTACCCCATACAATAGTTGGGACCAGACGTAACATTCAACAAACCTCATTCTCAGCGCAGTATTCAGATTTTTATCACAGAACAATTGCTTGAATTTTATGAACGCTGTCCTTGCCATTTCTATTCGTACCCTGATCTCTTGGTCTGGATCTAATTCTGCGTTGATGTAAGCTCCCAGATATTTATATTTTGTCACTCTCTCTATTTGCTGTCCACCAAGGGTTAGTTGTTCATTATTTATTGGACTCCTTGATACTATCATAAATTTGGTCTTATCTGTGTTGATGTCAAGTCCCATTTGAATGCATTCACTATTTATTGCATCTAGTAAAGTTTGTACTTCTTATATACTCTCAACCATGATTACCGTGTCATCTGCAAATCTCATGGTATTTACTATTTCTTCACCAATTCATATTCCCTCTTTTCTTTCAATAAGGCTTTTCTGAATATGACCTGTGAGTACACGTTGAAAAGCGTCGGAGACAAGACGCATCCTTGTCTGACCCCTCTGGCAATCGGTATATTATTTGTTTCTATATCGTTCACCTTTACTACTGCTTTCTGGTTCCAATATATAGCCTTAATAAACTCAATGTCTTTTTTGTCTAAATTTATATTTTTTAATTCATCTATCAACTTCATATGCTGCACTCGCTCAAAGGCCTTGCTAAAGTCTATGAAGCATACATATGCCCTCTTGTTATATTCCCGACATTTCTGCAAGAGTACCATCACCGCAAATAATGCCTCTCTTGTACCCATGCCTCCTCTGAAACCAAACTGGGTTTGATCTATCTGCTCCTCACATGTCATATAAATTCGGCTTGATTGATATATGATATAGATTGATAAGCCTCACATTAGGCTTATCAATCTATAGTCATTACATGATTTGGGATTGTTGTTTTTTGCAATTCCTCCAGGATGTTGCCCTCTACATATATGTGGTTGAGAATTCGGTGAGTCTCTCTATATTACCGTCATCTAAGCCTTTTAACAGTTCAACTGGAATTTGATCAGGACTCGGTGCTTTTCCTTGTTTTGGTTTCTGTAGGGCATGCTTTACTTCTGAGGGTAAAATTTGTAGGTATTGTTCTTTTTCACCTATATCTTGTTCATTTTCCCTATCGTCATGGAACAGATGGATTATATATTGTTCCCATACTTCCTTTATTTTGCTCTCTTCAGTAAGTATTCCTCCATTATTATCTCTTGTTATGAGTGTTCTTCTTTGTCTGGTGTTGCCTGTAAGTTCTTTCATTTTTTATGTAAGTTTGAGGTGTTATGTTTGTTGCTGATTTCTTCCAGTTCCTGGCATTCCTTGTTTATCCATCATAAAATACTCTATTTCAGACTTAATTTTTCACTTACATATCTCGTAAGTTTTATGATAATCTAGTATAGGTGTCTTTTATTCGTTTTTTGTTTAATTGTTGTAATCTATTAATCTTTATATATAAGCATTATGATTGAGTTAAAAAAATAGTGGCGACGACAATCATTTTGTTTAAAATAAATGTAATGATTTTTTACTACTCTACTCTGCTATTTTTATTAACTGATCTTTGTGAAATTTACAGCCGATCATTTTAATTTTATAAATTTGGATATTACAGCCGAGCTGCACTTTTGACAGGAACACCATCTCATCAAAATGGCATGTACGGCTTGCATCAAGGAATACATAACTTTAATTCCTTGTCTAATGTAAACAGTATATCCAATATATTAAAGCAAAACGGAATACGGACAGGTAAGTTGAAGTTTACATATTTAACAGTTCGTATTTTTTATAAGATAGGTTACATAAACATCTTCTTAACAACTCATCCTTTCAACATGAGGCCCGTCCTTTCCAAATATTAATCGGCAAACTAAAACAAATTAATTGATATAAGGTTGAATGCTCGAGTAAAGGAACTTTGAAAAATAAGGCTATAATCTAGCACAAGTTTAATTAAATCTTGCCCAAGTACTTTCGCTTAAAATAGCATCTTCAAGGGCATTTCGTCAAATATGAGCTATCCAGCAAGCGTAGAATGTGAAAAACATGAGTAATAACATAAAATTGTACAAAACACTACACTAAAATAAGGACAAACAGTTTAAAATTACTTAAAAGATTCTACGCACTACATTCTTTGTCAGTATCAGGAGGGAGAATGATGATTTATCAGCCTCGGTTATCATTGTTTTTGTAAAATTGCTTTTTCCAAATATACAGGAATGTTTTATTTATCAGCTTCTATCAATTTAAAATATTTTTCTTCTCAATAGCATTTATAAATGAGTAAAATGCTCCTCTTTATTTACTGTTTCTTCTTTGCTTCTTACTTATAATCTTATTTTTTCTTCTTAATACTCTCCAATCACCATATAGATATTATAATTTTAATATACTTTCAAATACTATAAAACACTGTATACTATCTGCTTGTACTATTTACTGATCAACTAACTTCTTAATAAATTCATTAACTAACTGTCGAACTGTCTCCTGTTTAACTTCTTAATTAACTAACTCCATATTGTCTTACTGTAACTGTTAACTATCTTGAACTGTCTAATCAATGCACTGTCTTACTGTCTAATCCCAACTCTCATACTGTTATACTAACTGTCTGATGAATACTGTGTATGAATGAATCAATCCTTGCTCCAAATTACATCGTATTTATATCTCTTCATCGTTCCCGAATATCCTAGCAATAAACCATGTTCAAATTTTTCTATTTTCTCGATATATCAATGTTCTGGAATCGTCTTCCTCGCAAATAGGGTTAAGTTCTTATATTGACGTTTTTCTAGAGAATTCTTTATCCTTCTATCGAAAATTTTATGGACATTTAGGCTTTTCAGATCAGAATATACACTTATATTTAAACTAAAAATCTTAAATGAATACATAATACTATTTTACATCCGTAATTATTATTCAAATATCACTTCCTATTCAAATTCATTCTTCTGTCATTATAATACAGTGTCAATTATTCAGTGTATATTTGGTTGCCTACGCACATGGCTCACTTAAATATATCTATAATATGGATATTAAAATAAAACATTTTACACTTATTATTATTTGCTAATTTCTTAAAAATACCCTCATATAAATATTTTTTATAATATTCTCTAGTGTATAACTTATAAATTATTTCTTTAATCACTATTTAAGTTTATCAATTAAAAATCATAATATCTCTTATATTATCTCTATCATAATATATCTTCTTCGTATCTTTAAATAAATCGGATATTTGCCTATATTTTTCATTGTATTTACCAATCTACTACAACAGACTAATAACAAAAATAAACTTAATGGTTTGCAGTTATTTTCTTTTTTTCTTGTATATATTTTATGGATAACACCTTATTTGAGAAACATCTAAAGGAATGAAGTTGACAACACCGCTCAAAGGAGGGCTTGTCTAAAGAAGCAATAACTGGTTTGACAGCATAATAAAATCGTAGATTTATGTGTAGCTTTCAATTTTTATGATTTCATTGTTGGCCAACCACATACAGCAAAATTGAGCCGAAATACATAATATTTCGTATGTTCCAAATTTATTTCGTTCAATCTGTATAAATATATATATATATATATATATATATATATATATATATATATATATATACAAATATGTATATATATATATATATATATATATATATATATATATATATATATATATATATATACAGATTGAACGAAATAAATTCGGAACATAGGAATATAATGTATTTCGGCTCAATTCTGCTGTAGGTGGTTGGCCAACAAAATATTGTCAAATAATTATATTATAAAAATCCAATACTTCAGCGGGCTGCTGGATTCTGAACTCATAAAAATTGAAAGCTACACATAAATCTACGATTTATGCTGTCAAACCAGTTATAGTCCAGGAAATGAAGCATTTCAGCTCGCAATTTTTTCGTGCTCCCTGGATTGACTTGAAATTTAACAGAAGGTAGGTAATAGCCTAAGGATCAAAATCTATATCGAACCAAAGTGCGCCAAAGCCTAGGGGGTGGTTGCCACCCCATCTCCGGGGTGAAATTTTTTTTTACGTTTTAACTACAGGTTTCGATTAAAAAAGTGATTCTAAACAAAAAATGTGCTATACATTTTTTTTATAAAATGATATTTTTCAAGTTATCCGCGATTGAAAGTAATAACTTTTAGACGAAAAAATCCACGTTTTTAATCGATTTTTCGTGAATAATTCGAAAATGGTGCATTTTATCAAAAAAATTGTAGAGAACAAATTTGTAGCTTTTAAAAAGACAAATACAATTCATTTTTTAAAATGTTTTTGGGATATAATAGGAACCGAAATACGGCCTATCAATGTTCAGCGGTTTTCTTCAAATGCCAAATTTGAAAGATTCAAAATCAAATATCGGGAAAATGATGCATTTTTGGAAGAAAACTCACAAAACCTTTTTTAAAGAGCATAAATAGACCTATCATAAAAAAGACTCTAGCTCAAAAATTGAGTGAGTTATGATGAAAATAAGGTCAATACCTCATTTTTTACGAAAAAATCGAAACAACACCCTAACCTCCTCCATAATTAAAATCGATCTTTACCCTTCTGAAATTCCCTTTGTACATGTATTGTTAATAAGTCCAAGAAGTTTGACCCATTTAAAATGCTTTGTGTTAGAAAAAGTACAGCTTAAAGCGAGAAACGATTTACAATTTCATATTTTTTACCCTTCTTTTTTTAAATATGCCCGAAAATACTGAATATATGAAAAAAATACAAATTACCAAATTGTAGCTTTTTTAATGACTAAAATTATCCTTCATTTAGATTTGTTGTACAATGAATATTTGGCGAGATATAGCCGTTTAAAGCATCGATTTACGATCAAGCACCATCTTTTTCGAGCCCTTTAAACTCACCCCATTTAAAAACCAAGGGTTCCAAAAAGATTTAATTTACAGATCCTTGTAGCTCTTAAAAACCTCTACAAATCGTTTTTGAAGAAACACTCTATCGTTAAAAATTAAAAGAAATACGTTAAAAAAACCAGTGAATTTTTTTCCGGAAAATTCTATTAGTATAGTACAGTACATTTCGGAGCATAATAATCTACAAAACCGGTATATTAGCTAGTGGGGCGTTATACATTCGAAATTTTAAGCGTTCTTATTTTGAAATCCCATACAACAGAATAAAACATCTGCTCATATGTCTATGGCTTGGCAATGAAAATATTAGAGCAACAGATTGGGGATGGTATTCCAAAGATGGTTTGTTATTACCCGTACGCATGAACAAACAACCTGCACTCGATGAACTTTTGAAAATTATTTTTTGGCAATGCAAAAAAGGATGCAGTGTTTCATGTGGGTGCAGAAAAGTTGGTTTATACTGTAACTCTACTTGTTCTGGGTGCTCAGGTGAAGGGTGCAATAATAGTCCACCAATAATTGAAGATGAGGATGACATAGATCACGATGAAGATGTAATTGATGACGAATAAAATTAATATTATAATTGTTTTACCTATAAATGTAAATATTTTCTACTATTTATGTAAATGTATAAGAATATATGGTGCCTTTTTATGTTGATAAATTTTTTTGTATTTAATTCTACTTTTTTCAATTTATATCTTATAAATTAGTTTATAAAAACTGCAATGTTGTAAAGGGTGATTTTCAAAAGTTTAAAAGTTGCAAAATTTTGGCAAAAAATTGTTTTCACCTATAGCACTCATAACAATTGATTTTTAAGGGTTGAAAATGTATGAATTTGTATTTTAAAGTATAAAAAAATCAATATTTAACTAATCCAAACCAAATTTCACTCATCTTAAGATTTATAATATTATTTTACAATTTTTGAAAATTAGGGGTAGTTTTCATCCCTAAGAACAATCAGGGTTCATCGGCATGACATAAACTATAAAGCAGAGGGTGAGTTGAGCTTAAGTCCAAATTTTTATGCAAATCGTTCCAAGGTGAAATCATTTTCTTCGCATTACTAATTTTTTTATATTAATCTCTAATAAGGGTCGCTTTTTAAGGGTTGAAATATGATGGAACTTTATTCAAAAGCACGAAACTATCATTATTTAATTAATTCAAACCAAATTTTACCCATATTCAGGTTTAATATGTTATTTTATAATTTTTGACAATTACGGGTAGTTTTCACCCCTTAGAACAATCAGGGTTCGTCGACATGACATAAACTATAAAGCAGCGGGTGAATTGAGCTTAAATCCAAATTTTTATCCAAATCGATCCAAGGCGAAATCATTTTTTTAGAATTAGTAATTTTTTTACATTAACCTCTAACAAGGGTTGCTTTTTAAGGGTTGAAATATGATGGAACTCTATTCAAAAGTATAAAATAATCATTATTTAACTAATTCAAACCAAA